TAGTCCTACTTGGTGAAGACGCTGACAAAATGCAGAGTCTTCTGACTACCCTAAGAAACAATGCAAGCATGTTCGTGATGCGGTTCTCACCCTCGAAATGCAAAATGCTGCTTCAAGACTGGGTTGCATTGGCACCTGAACTAGTGATAGGGAGTGAAGTAGTCGAGTGTGTAGACCATTTAACTTATCTGGGGAGTCTCATCAGTGCTGATGGCCTGGTGACTGACGAAATCTCGGCTCGGATACAGAAGGCTCGATTGGCTTTTGCCAACCTGCGTCACTTATGGCGTAGGCGAGATATCCGTTTGCTTACTAAAGGACGAGTGTACTGTGCAGCAGTTCGCTCTGTCCTAATATACGGATGCGAAACATGGCCGTTCGGAGTAGAGGACATTCGTAGGTTACTAGTCTTCAATCATAGGTGTATCGGAAGCGTTGCTCGTGTATCCTGGGACGACCGAGTAAGCAATGCTATCGTTAGGAAACGAGTTCTAGGTAAGGATAGCGAATCAATAGATGAAACTTCATCAGTTGAGGTGGTTGGGACATGTGTTACGTATGGCTAACCAGCGACTGCCGCGACGAGCTATGTTTTGTGGTGCAGGAGTAGGTTGGAAGAAAGTTAGGGGAAGCCAGACCAAAACATGGCATAAATCCATGAAGTCACTGACGAGTGGACTGAGTCATGTTGACAGATGGAGGCTACCTGGTGGGGGTCCGAGAGACGAAAGTCACCGATGGTTAGGGACCTTGAACGACATGCCTCACAATCATTTGCAGTGGTGCAGGTGCATCCACTCTTTGTGTTCTATGAAATTCTACGCTTCGGCATTCCTCATAATCTCTCTCTTTCTCGTTCTAAATTTATCTTATTGAAATATACTTCTCGAATCATATGTCCCCTCCCTAATCCTCTCCATAACTGCTAATACTTACATTATTGCTATAACGTGGATTTGAACAGACAGTTGCGTCTCTGTGCTGATGGGGAAGGACAACATGAACTGATGCAAGTACGTACGAAGCCCTGCGTGGTATGTCTTTCAAACTCGGTTGAGAAAGTTGAAAAACATGGGCTTCAACATGCTAATAGTAATTACCTTTGAAAACTAATATCTATATTACCACCTGGAGTAATCAAGAAAATCTATTTCAGACAGCTACCCTAAATACCAAATAATATTTATCTGTACCATAGTGAATGGTCAACACAGTTGCTGTTTGACTGTTTCATGTGTTTTGATCTGATATGAAAAGACCAGTACAATTTCCTTTAGCCCACTTCAAAATCGACCTACTAATTGAGTCATATCAAAAGCGGAGCCAATCGAGGATCAACAGCGATCCGTAAGACTTTCAGATCTTAGTTTAGCGTCGCGGTCAACGTGAAAGCTGCATATTACAACGATATCGCTGGAAATAGAAGACTACTTGGAATATTTTCAGGCTTCCTGTTGAACACAATTTCACTTGAGCTGGTTTTATAATTTGTATTGAGGAGGTACATAGACATTTTTTAAGGAATAATGTCCCGACCGTAGCTGCTACCTTGATGTGATGGTTTGGCCTGCCTATCTTGATGACCCGACCAAGCTATATTGGCTGGAACATATGTTTCCTTAGGCCCTATCATGCCAGATAGGTCGGTTCGAGAACGGTAAGACTAAAAGCAGCAACTTAAGATCTGAGGCCGAAGTCGTACTGCTCGCTTTAGAGGGGTGCGAACTTAGTGAGGTGCTTCCCTCGAACAACTAGCATCTGTGGTGACGCTGCCTTCACATAACGGAAGAAAGGCGTTAAAAAGGGTTCACCCTCAGAATGTCACACCTCACCTTACCCCATAGTATCCGTCTTCGGTGATAAGGCCTTTTGAAGAGAAGACCTACGACTCTAAAAAGCATCCCATAAGAAAGCCGTGTGTGACCGGCCTCAGGCAGTTGTGCCTTTGTGCTCCGAGATCACACTCCCAGGTCGCTAAAACCAACGCTGGTCCAATTTCCAAGACATTATTCAAGTATATTTCCCAGGATACGCGAGCAATGCTTCGATGACTTCTACAATCGAATACTAATAACCTACGATGATCATCAACTGTTACCGACCATGTTTCACAGTCATAAAGTAGGATGGAGCGAACTGATGCGCAGCACACTCGTTCATTCGTTAGCAAACGTACATCTCACCTACGCAACACGAGACGCAAGTTGGCAAAAGCCAGTCGAGTCTTCTGCAACAATGCTGAGATTTCGTCAAACACCACGTCATCAGCACTAATGAGACTCCCGACATAAGTAAAGCGGTCAACATGCTCAACTACTTCACTCCCTATCACTAGTTCACGTACCGACGTAAGCTAATGCTGAAGCAACGATTGCATTTAGAGAAGATGGATCGCATCGCGAAAATGCTTGCACTGTTGTATGGGGTAGTCAAACGACTGTGCATTCTGTCAGCGTCTCCATCAAATAGAAGCATTTCATCGGCATACTCTAGGTCAACAGGTGAATTTCCTGATAGAAGGTCAACTCATGAAAAGTATGAAGGAGATAGTGTTATCTCTAAAAGCATGACGATGACAGAGTTGGATAGGAATGCAGAAATTGGACATCCCTGACGGACACCATTCCAGGTAACCAATTCTGATGACAGTTCGCCATAAGCTTTGACTCGGCCAGTATTGTTCGAGTAGAGAGGCTGTACTACATTAATGTACTTCTCTGGTACTCCTTTCAGTGACGACACTGCCACATAACCTCACGTTAAACACAGTCGATTTATGCTTCAAGGTCGAGAAATACTAGTATTGTGGGACATCTGAATGTTTGTCTTCGTTTCAGGACCTGAAGCAGTGTGAATATTAGGTCTATTCATCCTCGTCCAGGTCGGAAACCAGCTTGGTTTTTCTAGTCTGCTCTTCGCGAGGTTTGGTTAAGCGTACAAGTATTATTGAAGCCATTATCTTAGACACTACATTAGTCAAACTGATTCGTCTTAGATTGTCACAAGAGGGCTTCTGTCTTTTTTTTATGAATCATGACATTTAGCGACTGAGACTAGTCAGATGGGATTACGCCTAGTTTCCAGATTCTACCTTAGACTTCAACCAATCTAACTGTTAAGACTGGACCACCATCCATGAAAATCTAAGGGGTTAACCTATCAGGAGCTGCTGCTATCCTTCATCTTAGGTAGCATCAACTTGCCATTCAGGTTGACTGGAGATCGTGTATAACTGAAGTATGTCTGGAGGCCAGTTGAACTGATCCCTAAAGTGTTCTACCCATAGATCCGATCTCCTGGGCTCAGAGTAAATAATATGACCATCCCTTTCCGAGATAGTCTCACTGACAGTCGAATGTCTAATACCGGTTTCCTTGATAAGTCCGAATACTTACCTACTGTTATCTATCATCGCTGCCTTTTTCACATCTTTTGCTACTGCTATCCACTACTATTCGCGATCATTTCGTAAGCCTGTTATCAGCCTGAGCCTGAGTTGATTTCGTTCTTCATCATGTTCAGAGTCAGACGGATTGGGTTTTTGAGCGTTTACCAGTTCAGTAGATGCTACTGGAATCCACTGCCTTACAAGCGATATCACTGCTGTTTCCACAGCTTTCTGGATATCATTCCAGGTTGCCTCAGAGACGGCATCACTTACATGGCTGCCTAACTGTTTCTCTAGTTGCCCGTGAAATATACTCTTGGCTGTGCTATCATTAAGTAGAACCCTAACAGGTTTTCTTGCGGTGTCTTTCCTACATCCAAGAAGTAGCAAACAAATACGCGCTCGCACTAGAACATGATCTGAATCTAACATGTGCCCCAGAACGAGCAACAGTCCTCAATCGAGCCCCTCTATCGGTGGCTGATAGCGATGTGATCTAGATGTTTTCAGCGTTGGAACGACTTAGGGGGTCACCATGTCAAAACATGTTTTCCCTTGTGCCTAAAGTTAACACTTGCTAGAAACAGGCGGTTATCTGGGCATACATGCATATAAAATCATTGTCGAAATCGTTCTCTTAACAGCAAACTTGCTGTTTTGTACTTTTTGCTTGTGTAGACACGTATATGTATCTGAAAACTGTATAATTTATTATAGATTCACTTTCTATGTTGACAAAACACTGTATCTTAAAACTTGGCCCACCATCAGGCTTAAATCTCGAAATAAGATAGCTTCGAATGCTTTGCGTAATTTGAAAACGCTCCACATACATCGATATGTCACAAAAGTTAGGATAGACTTCATTACTAATATTACTACTAACTAATTACACTCAGTTGCTTCTTAGAAATCAAATCCATTACCTCATTAACGTTTCATAGTATCTCTTGACAGTAACAATTATAGGCAATTAATGAGAAGTAGAAACACGAATTTCAGTAATAAATTAAGCCTTGTTTGTTAGGTAGTTTGTTGTACTTTCCATGAAAGAGATGTAACATTTCTAAGCATAAAACGCACATGACTCTGTAGTTATTTTACTTTTATCCAACTACGTTTATTTAAGACATGGTTAAGATTCAAGTCTAATGTAAAATGTTCTATAGAATGATGTTACCGATGACATTTCAGCGGAGATCTTATGCCTTACTTTATTCACAACTGTATTGCAAATATGAAGTGAAAACAATTTATGGATTACGACTTTTCAAGTGATCGATCCTTATTTTTGTTACCTATTTAGTTCGAACCTAATTATATCCGGAAATATAGATGTGAACTCTGTGATCGGTTTCAAAAGACTTAATTATTGTCATTTAACATAACACAAAATAGCTATCAAAAAGATATAACATTTCGTAATCAAAAAAGTAGGTACTCAATCACATAGCATTTATTATTTCTATTAAACCTCAAATGATCTTGATCATGGTATTTACAATTGGAAACGCAAAACTCTTACTTCAGTCACAGGAACAACTTGTGTTTTGACCAAAGTTTATAACTTTATCATTTTGAAGTTTATGATATAATACAATTAGAAGCGCTTTAAGAAGACATATGACCTTGGAAAGCAAGAGAATTCATACTACACAATAAGTGAGATTCAAGCTCAAAATGTATGCAACAGTATGCGGAATTTTAACTGTTTTTTATTACATCTAATCTTGGACAGTTATCCTTATATGCAACACCTACAAATATATACTAAGCGTAGAGGATTTCAGTTTAAATATCGATAATATACCGAAATTATTCGCTCATATGAATCAACATTTTATGGGCAGTATTTTTGTTTATTTAGCGAATGGTACATCAAAGTTATTCTGATTCATTCGTTTCTAATTACACGAAAAAGTTGAACAGCAAGGGTTATTTAACGATTAATTCATTGAATTTCGACGGCATGACTGGGATCTATGCATTAAGTCACACAGTGTTTATAAAATTCACTTATGTTTCTACCAATGTCGATAGGCTGCAATCAAGAGCCTTGTAAACTCACATCTATGCTTCACCTCAATAAAATTCATGATGCATTTTGAAGAGCGATACTTTACTTAAAAAAAGGTAAGATAGATATTCTTGAAACTTACATGGCTGATTTTGATACTTTCGTAGTTTTTTCAATATTAGAGCTTAATTGCTGTCGAAAAACTTCAATAGGATGCGTTTTCCATGTTTCACCTGCGAAAGTTAAAAGAATGGAATAACAACAGAAATAAATCACTGTTCCAAGTATTAACTGATTAGTTTCTAGCCAGGAAATGACACCATGACATAAAAATTACTTGCAAACCAATTAAATTTAAAATTTGACAGTATACTTGTCGCATAGGTAGACCTTTCAAACTCAGTTGCGAAAGTTGAAAAACATGGGCTTCAACATGCTAATAGTAATTACCTTTGAAAACTAATATCTATATTACCACCTGGAGTAATCAAGAAAATCTATTTCAGACAGCTACCCTAAATACCAAATAATATTTATCTGTACCATAGTGAATGGTCAACACAGTTGCTGTTTGACTGTTTCATGTGTTTTGATCTGATATGAAAAGACCAGTACAATTTCCTTTAGCCCACTTCAAAATCGACCTACTAATTGAGTCATATCAAAAGCGGAGCCAATCGAGGATCAACAGCGATCCGTAAGACTTTCAGATCTTAGTTTAGCGTCGCGGTCAACGTGAAAGCTGCATATTACAACGATATCGCTGGAAATAGAAGACTACTTGGAATATTTTCAGGCTTCCTGTTGAACACAATTTCACTTGAGCTGGTTTTATAATTTGTATTGAGGAGGTACATAGACATTTTTTAAGGAATAATGTCCCGACCGTAGCTGCTACCTTGATGTGATGGTTTGGCTTGCCTATCTTGATGACCCGACCAAGCTATATTGGCTGGAACATATGTTTCCTTAGGCCCTATCATGCCAGATAGGTCGGTTCGAGAACGGTAAGACTAAAAGCAGCAACTTAAGATCTGAGGCCGAAGTCGTACTGCTCGCTTTAGAGGGGTGCGAACTTAGTGAGGTGCTTCCCTCGAACAACTAGCATCTGTGGTGACGCTGCCTTCACATAACGGAAGAAAGGCGTTAAAAAAGGTTCACCCTCAGAATGTCACACCTCACCTTACCCCATAGTATCCGTCTTCGGTGATAAGGCCTTTTGAAGAGAAGACCTACGACTCTAAAAAGCATCCCATAAGAAAGCCGTGTGTGACCGGCCTCAGGCAGTTGTGCCTTTGTGCTCCGAGATCACACTCCCAGGTCGCTAAAACCAACGCTGGTCCAATTTCCAAGACATTATTCAAGTATATTTCCCAGGATACGCGAGCAATGCTTCGATGACTTCTACAATCGAATACTAATAACCTACGATGATCATCAACTGTTACCGACCATGTTTCACAGTCATAAAGTAGGATGGAGCGAACTGATGCGCAGCACACTCGTTCATTCGTTAGCAAACGTACATCTCACCTACGCAACACGAGACGCAAGTTGGCAAAAGCCAGTCGAGTCTTCTGCAACAATGCTGAGATTTCGTCAAACACCACGTCATCAGCACTAATGAGACTCCCAACATAAGTAAAGCGGTCAACATGCTCAACTACTTCACTCCCTATCACTAGTTCACGTACCGATGTAAGCTAATGCTGAAGCAACGATTGCATTTAGAGGGGATGGATCGCATCGAGAAAATGCATTGTTGCAAAAGGTAGTCGGTATTATTTCACCAGAAAGCACATGTTACATAAAGTCATCATGCGGAATCAAAATTGCTCAGCATTCTTACGTTTTGTGTGAGCCTAGTTGATAAGTATAGTAACACTAGGTAAGATCATTTTAAATGGAGCAAATGCGTTAATTCTTTATATTACTGTAGATTTTAAATCTCGTCATCCCAGGAAATACAACTTTCCACTTTCTTTCCAACCATTTAATATTAAGTATTTTACTGTTATAACCACTTTCATTTGTTTCTTTTCTTTACTGACTGGCGTAGTGACACGGGAAATGGATATTTCTACCAGATACTAGGTTAATAATAATTCGGATAGTGGTTTATATCAACCTCTAGCGGATAAGAATATTTTGCGTTCGGAGTACTTGAAAGCCACTACTGCTTTCAAAGGTAAACTGAAGCACATAGACAAAGTCCTGTACATCATTTTATGGATCAGAAAAATATGTGAAACAAGACTCATCATCCTTACATTAATGACATGACCTTACATGGAAGTAACATTAACCTTTGTCTAATAAAAAACCATACTTAAGAATTGTTTATGATCAAGCTAATTAAAATTAAAAACATATTCAGTAACTTTTAACGTCTCAGTATTAGGTAAGCTTTAAAAATAAACGCCACTGCTTCGTACGCTGAATAGATAATTTCTATGTTCACAAAAATTGGTTCCTACAGTAGAAAAATATAGGCACACAATAATACTAAAAAACTTGCATGCTGAAGTGAATAAAATACAATTATTTTCGGCCAAAGTCTTTCCTGACTCTATTTCTTCAAATGTTCTGGAAGATGTGGAAGTACAGAACAAGCGACACTTTAGCTCTGTTTCGGATGCGTTTTCTATTTGACCTTTTGACATTTATTGATGAAATCAAAGCTATCAGCAACACCAATCAAACCAGTATCATCTGTTAACTGCCGAAATGAGTGCAGAAGCCCCAAGTGTATGAGTTTATTTCGATTTTAAAAGACTCAACATAATGCAAAACCCAATTTCAATATCCAATATCTTCACGAGCTTGTATAAACCAATTGACTTCTATGCGCTCGGTTCTTGTCCTTTCACCAGGATTCCAGGTTTTCTGTAGTGTCCAATGGATGGTAGTCTAGCCACTGGACTCCACTAATTACGGCCAACTGGCTGTGATTTGAATGATTATGTTTGTTTCAGGCCAGTAGAGTCTCCGGATAACAGCAGCTATCATATCACCAGGCTGGAGGTCGATTATCTGCAACAAGGAGAGTAACAACGAGAAAATTCTAATGCTAATATAATGGAAATTTCTGAAGTTACTAAATAATTTATTTACGCCTGTTATCCCCAATTGAGCATAAGCCGCAAACCAGCATTATTCAGCCTATTCTGTCCCAGGCCTTCCTTTATAGTTCTATCCAATCGTTGTCTATTGTTTTCATGTGTGCATCGATTATCGGTGCAGTTTGGTTTTTGAGTCTTGCTCTTTTTCTTGAGCCCTGAGGATTCCGAGTTCGGGCAAGCCTTTGATGCAGTTTTGGACTTTCCTCAATTTATGTCCTATCCACTTCCAGCGCTTCCTTTTATCCTCTCCCTCAGCTGGAATCTGGTTTGTCTTCTCCCACAGTAGCTTGTTGCTGAAGGTGTCTCACCGACGGATCTGAAATAATTTACGAAGACCTTTGTTAATAAATACTCACATCTTTTTGATGGCGGCTTTCAAAGACAGCCAACTTTCCGCCCTATAAAGTGGAATTATCATGACATTTGTATTGAAATTTATGACCATGGTGTTCTTTAATAGTTGTTTTGAGATCCAGATGTTCTTCAACTGTAGAAATGCTATCCTTGCTTTGCCGATCCGCGCATTCACATTCGCATCAGATCCACCGTGCTTGTCAATGATGCGGCCCTGATTTATAAAAATGTTTCCGTTTTCCGAAAGCTTCACCATCAAGCGTGGTTCTGTCATTGCATGTTGTGTCGTATCGGAGAATCCCACTTTACCCTTTGAGTGTGTTGAGAACTACTGTTGATAAGGCTGCTAATACACTGCTCGTCTTCTCTCGCATTTATTGATTAAGGTCGGTAAAAAGGGTTAGATAATCTAAGAAAACTATGTTTTCCAGCTGCAGTTTAGTTGTACATTGTACACCGTGGTTCCGATGAGACTCTGAAGGCTTCATAACGCAGTCGACAATCAGAAGAAAGGGAAAGGGTAGGAGTAAGCAGAGACTCAGCACCTGTGCTGCAACAGTGATTTTTCAGGAATTCAGTGTAACAACCACTAGTACAATCGGTTAAAATTTCTATCAAATCAATCTCGTTCTCTATGTAAAAGTGAATTCACTAGAGCAGTCCCCCACTGGAAAGGGTTTGCACTCTCGATACGTAGCGGCTTTGTTCGTGGGACTGATAGGCTTAACGTGCGGTTGTAGGACGGAAGGGTAGAGGGACAGGAAGCTATTCATTATGCTGGAGCTGTCACCGAATGTCTTTTACGGAGAACGGTACGAGTAGTAACGTCCTATGTTTGCTGCTAAGTTGGCATACCACACCAGTGTGACTCGTATCCAGTATCTGAAGATAGCGTTCGAAGGGTCTCGGACCAGAAAACGCTGCAGCCATAGGACGGAACCACATTGAGCCAAGAAACCAGAAGCGACCATAACATCGAAGTTCGAGACCATGCGTATGTCAGACATATTCGGAACCGAAACATCGAGTGAGTGCATTGGAAAGAGCGAGGGTAATCAGGGATGGATTATTTTGGGCTGTTTATGTCAGATAGATTGAGCACGAAGAACGCTAGAAGACTTTAGACGCTTGACATTTTGGTGACTATTAAGTCGAGATTGGCTGTGATTACCGATGAATGCTTATTACGAGCTGATTACTGAGAAGATAAATAAATCCATGTCAAAGAATATATTCGCTAGCGATTTCGTGGCATCGAAAGAATTCCGAAATAGCAGCAACACAAGCACAAAGTTTGCGCGTACAATGTTTTGAACAACGAGGTTCAGTAAAACAGTCACTGGTACGATCGGTTATAATAATGAATGTTACCATCGAACCAATCTTGTTTTCATGATTGAAGTGCTTTTACTACAACACTTCGATAAATGAGCAACCAAAAATCAAATCCAATTCGATCCAGTTCATCAAACAATCGATAGAATCATAGACAAGCTTAAAATCAATGGAAGATCAAAGGTGGGTGAAATCGAAACACGTCGGCAGAAATCAGTAGGTTATTGTCAACGACAACCAATCAAGAGTGAATTTCTTTGGACAAGCTGATAGTCATATGTGAAGAAACTAGAACACGACTTCTATCTAAAATCTGTGCTGATGATGCTGTTCAAAAGAACAGGTAAAGCTACACAATGAAACCAATGAGCCCGACGAACGAAAATCCGCCATCGTCATTCACCTTTTAGTGGCCCAAGACTTGGCTCCGATTGGACGAGTGATCGCAAGTGTAATAAAACAAATCCTGCTGTCTATTTCCGTTTATCATACTTAGGCAAAACTCGTTTGTATTAGGATGCCAGATATGGATTTTAGGATAAATTTCTTCCTTGCGTTCATCTAAGTAGACAAACATAAGAATGGAAAGCAAACGAGTAAAGCAAAGTGAAGTCGAGTGAGTCAACAGTCGTGGGCTGAAGAAAGACTAGGTATTTATAGTCAGCCAATAATAAGCTGAACAAGTAAAAAGCGAGTAAGTATGCACACATAAAATCAGATATACAATAACCGATACTATCATCGAATTATCACAGATTTAAAAAAGGGTCACTAGAATTATTGAAAAATTTGATCGAATAATCATCAAAGTTGGCATAATGGATACATGTCAAGGTGCTGAAACCCGAGCTTCACATTTTCTACGCTACTTCAGGTACACTGATTGTGAATCAGCAGTCAATTATCAAAGATGATACGGATTATAGTTCTATCGAACTTGGATTTTATGGTCACTTCTGATTTCCTGGCACAATGTGGTTCCGTCCGAATTCTGCAGCGTTTTCTGGTCCGAAACCATTCGAACGCTATATTCAGATTCTATCACAAAGGTGTAGTATGATAACTAAGTAGCAAACATGAGACGTTATTATACGTACCGTAGTGAAAAGCAGTAGAAAAGATGTGAAAAAGGCAGCGATGATAGATAACAGTAGGCAAGTATTCGGACTTATCAAGGAAACCGGTATTATACATTCGACTGTCAGTGAGACTATCTCGGAAAGGGATGGTCATATTATTTACTCTGAGCCCAGGAGATCGGATCGATGGGTAGAACACTTTAGGGATCAGTTCAACTGGCCTCCAGACATACTTCAGTTATGCACGATCTCCAGTCAACCTGAATGGCAAGTTGATGCTACCTAAGATGAAGGATAGCAGCAGGTCCTGATAGGTTAACCCCTTAGATTTTCATGGATGGTGGTCCAGTCTTAACAGTTAGATTGGTTGAAGTCTAAGGTAGAATCTGGAAACTAGGCGTAATCCCATCTGACTAGTCTCAGTCGCTAAATGTCATGATTCATAAAAAAAAGACAGAAGCCCTCTTGTGACAATCTAAGACGAATCAGTTTGACTAATGTAGTGTCTAAGATAATGGCTTCAATAATACTTGTACGCTTAACCAAACCTCGCGAAGAGCAGACTAGAAAAACCAAGCTGGTTTCCGACCTGGACGAGGATGAATAGACCTAATATTCACACTGCTTCAGGTCCTGAAACGAAGACAAACATTCAGATGTCCCACAATACTAGTATTTCTCGACCTTGAAGCATAAATCGACTGTGTTTAACGTGAGGTTATGTGGCAGTGTCGTCACTGAAAGGAGTACCAGAGAAGTACATTAATGTAGTACAGCCTCTCTACTCGAACAATACTGGCCGAGTCAAAGCTTATGGCGAACTGTCATCAGAATTGGTTACCTGGAATGGTGTCCGTCAGGGATGTCCAATTTCTGCATTCCTATCCAACTCTGTCATCGTCATGCTTTTAGAGATAACACTATCTCCTTCATACTTTTCATGAGTTGACCTTCTATCAGGAAATTCACCTGTTGACCTAGAGTATGCCGATGAAATGCTTCTATTTGATGGAGACGCTGACAGAATGCACAGTCGTTTGACTACCCCATACAACAGTGCAAGCATTTTCGCGATGCGATCCATCTTCTCTAAATGCAATCGTTGCTTCAGCATTAGCTTACGTCGGTACGTGAACTAGTGATAGGGAGTGAAGTAGTTGAGCATGTTGACCGCTTTACTTATGTCGGGAGTCTCATTAGTGCTGATGACGTGGTGTTTGACGAAATCTCAGCATTGTTGCAGAAGACTCGACTGGCTTTTGCCAACTTGCGTCTCGTGTTGCGTAGGTGAGATGTACGTTTGCTAACGAATGAACGAGTGTGCTGCGCATCAGTTCGCTCCATCCTACTTTATGACTGTGAAACATGGTCGGTAACAGTTGATGATCATCGTAGGTTATTAGTATTCGATTGTAGAAGTCATCGAAGCATTGCTCGCGTATCCTGGGAAATATACTTGAATAATGTCTTGGAAATTGGACCAGCGTTGGTTTTAGCGACCTGGGAGTGTGATCTCGGAGCACAAAGGCACAACTGCCTGAGGCCGGTCACACACGGCTTTCTTATGGGATGCTTTTTAGAGTCGTAGGTCTTCTCTTCAAAAGGCCTTATCACCGAAGACGGATACTATGGGGTAAGGTGAGGTGTGACATTCTGAGGGTGAACCCTTTTTAACGCCTTTCTTCCGTTATGTGAAGGCAGCGTCACCACAGATGCTAGTTGTTCGAGGGAAGCACCTCACTAAGTTCGCACCCCTCTAAAGCGAGCAGTACGACTTCGGCCTCAGATCTTAAGTTGCTGCTTTTAGTCTTACCGTTCTCGAACCGACCTATCTGGCATGATAGGGCCTAAGGAAACATATGTTCCAGCCAATATAGCTTGGTCGGGTCATCAAGATAGGCAAGCCAAACCATCACATCAAGGTAGCAGCTACGGTCGGGACATTATTCCTTAAAAAATGTCTATGTACCTCCTCAA